ATTTATATAAATTCACAGTAAACAAACTCGCAAAATCCAATATATAAATATTGAATATAGAATATTATTATACATTCTATTTATGTATGGTTTTACTTATTGCATGGCATTATATATATATATATATATATATATATATATATATATATATATATATATATATATATATATAAATATAATGCCATACACTAAATAAATCTATCAATTAACCTAGGCCTTATACGCAAGCTCATAATATAAAACTAAGACGCTGTGTTGGTGTATCATCGATTTTATTCCTAACTGCAGAACGGATTTTGCTCCGGGTATCAACATTGGGTATGTTGGTTCATTCGCGAGGTTTAAATATTCAATTAGTACTGGAAATTATACAACTGGTGTAAGTAACCGTATAAAATAAAAATAAAAACATAATTTCGCAAATAATTTATTGTCAACCGTTCATTCAGTTCTAGTATTATACAAAACAAATCAGCTCCTAAAATAACGCCTATTCTAATTACTTATAGGTCTCTCTATAAACAGACTAAACTATATTTTCTGATATATAAAAATTAATGTTTGTTTGTCCGTATTTTGCACTGTCATACCGTTCATCAGATTGCAGTAAAACTTTGTCAACTTATTACTTGCATTTGCGCGAAGGTTATAGGCATAGTGCAATTAACTTATAGTAAGGAGCGCGCGTACCGTACTGACAGACTTGTTTGAAAGTTATATATCATCATCATTATCATTCCTATTAAACAATATTCAAAATTTAAAACGATATTTCACCATCATTTCTCCTGCGGCTGCAACGCACACGGCGCGTTGCTAGTACTTAATATTATAAAGAGAAAATATATTTTAATGTTTGTAATGAATAAACGCTAAAAGTACTTAATAAACCTATAGAAATCTACATTATCGGTGAGTAACATAGCTATATTAAAAAAAAAATAGGGTCCCTAAGAAAATTGCGCTGCGAAAACTATTGATGCTATAATAAAATAATGTACTAGATGTTTATAGAACTTATCAATATCTGAAAAAAGTACGCAAGGCAATATTTCCAACTGTTATAGCTGAGTGACGGTCTTGTATTTTAAAATTTAATTAATACACTGGCAGAAACGAAAGATTACGTTCGCATCATGGTATTAACCCTTATTCCAATCAAATAAAGTCATAATCAAGAGTGTTTGTGTGGATGTCAATTCCTCTTTAAATTATTAGAATAATAATTGGGTCAATGAAAGTAAAAGCGTGAAGATGACAATAAATCGCTATTTAAGCTACCCATAACAAGAGTTTTGTTAATGAAACGTTAAAATTAAAACGCTTTTATTTTTAACATAAGTGAAAAAGTAACAACCTTAAAAATGCTTCCTCTCTCTTATCTTTCTTTCTATTATCTCGTATTTTAGACGTGGTAGAGCCAAGCTGCCGCTATATTTATAGTATATTTGTAGCACGAATGGGTCGGCTCGACCGGGGAAGGACCACGCTCTCACAGAATACCAACGTAAAATAGCAGCTTAATGGTGCTGTGTTCCGTATGGTGAGTGTAGAGAACCGGAGACCCTTTTTACTGGAAAAGAGGCATTCCATCTTAGTCCTCAAGGCTGACAACACATCTGCATTTTGATTCGCTAACGAGTACAGATGTAGATGTCTATGGGCCACAGCATCCACTTACCATCAGGTGGACTGTGTGCTCGTTTGTTACCCTATTCTATAAAAAAAATAATAATAAAATCTATTGAAGGTATACGGTATACAGATCTCTCCCATAGTAGGAACGATTCAGCGTAACACAACGTTTCACCAGCAGCTAAATGATCACAGTAACTGATGTCTCGTACTATTCACGCTGATTTTTGTCGTTAGCTTGTATATTTTATACAAGTTTGAAAAATTTCATTAAATTACCGCTAGTATCTTTATTATTCGATCAATGTCAAAAATGTGTATGCGGACGCCAGCTTGGCTTTTAGCAAGACTTCTCTAGTTGAGAGTGCTTTTTTATAGGATAGGGTGACAAACGAGCACACGATCCACCTGATGGTAAGTGGTTGCTGTGACCCAAATACATCTATTTTATCCTCAATAAAGAATCAAAATGCAGATGCGTCGTCACCCGTGAGGACTAAGATGGAATGCCTCTTTTCCAGTAAAATGGGTCTCCGGTTCTCTGCACTCACCATACAAAACACAACAGTGTCAAGCTGCCATTTTACGTTAGTATTCTGTGAGAGCGTGGTCCTTGCCCGGTCGAGCCGACCCATTCGTGCTACAACTATACTACTAATATAGCTGCAGCATGGCTCTACCACATATGTATCTACGCATTTTTATATATCTATAAGATATATAAAAATGCTGATGAATATGTTGCGAAAAATTCGCATAGCATTTTTTTTAGGAAGACCCTCTGCCCATCACCGGTTTCGACCCCTACGGAATGATGTGGGATTCGCTTACGCCTTCACTACATTTCGATATCATATATATGAAGTAAAGTTACAGCCTTTACAAGTCTTGCTCCTGGGCACAGGCCAGCTCTCATTTTTGCGATGGTTTTAGGGCATGGAAGTATATGAATTGCCCTGTTTCAATACATGTTGGCAGAATTAATAGGTCAAACTTGTTGTACTTGGTGAATCAGCATTTGAAATTACAATTAATAATTATATTTGTGCCGTAGCGTAGGGGATTAAATGTGAGGTTTCTCGCGTACTGTGAAATTTACAGCGAGCTCTTAGCTCCTGAGATATTCATGTCACGGATATCATATTTACTTACAAGCTATTACCACTTTTTTGCCTGTTATATCGGTATATGGTTATAGACCAAACTCAGATGGAAACACTTCTTCCTTTGTGTATTGTTTAAACTTTAAAAACGCTCAAATAAAGTCTCGAGTCGAATAACGCGTTTTAATTATATTGACTTGAGACACTGGCCAGCTGAATTTTTCACCAGTTTTATATAGTACTAGCTGTTCCCCGCGATTTGGAAATTTATTACGATTAGATTACATGGATGTTTTTTTTTTGCGCGGAACCATAATTCTTTTTCTAAAATAAAAGTAGCCTAAGTTACTCTTTATAAAATCAGCTATCTGTTAGTGTAAGTCCCGTCAAAATCGGTCCAGCCTTTTTGGAGATTAGCCGGAACCAACAGAATCCTGTTTTTTTTGTTATAAGTACCGTTAGTACTTTCATATGTATTTGGTAAAAAGCTGTTATTTTGACATTACAAACAGACACCTGAATTTTATTTATTTGCATAGATTTTATTGCCTTTTAAATGAATATAATAACATCAATGCAAGATTGATGTTATAAAAATATACCACAATATTAAAATATGTTATACTATCTCGAAAAAGGATAAAAATATCAAAAGATAATAGATTAAATAATGACGTTTTACAAGTGAAATTTTGATTAAATCAATTATTAAAAAAATCTGTATGATTCAAAAACAATGTAAGAAATATAATTTTAATCCACCCATCCGTCCATTACAGCCTGTAAATGTCCACCGTTGAACATAGGCCTCCCCATAAATTGCTAACAGGGTGGACTTTGCTATAGTTACCACGCTTGGCAGGTGGGTTGGCAGTAAGTTGCATCTCCTGTTTTAGTTTGCCTCTTGTCGCCTCTTACGATACCCACGAGACGGTATGGGGTAGTGTATATTCTAACACCGCAACCTAAATAGATTGTTTGTCAGTAATTTTAATTGTATACTGACAAATACATGTATTTATTTGTTAGTCAGTGCACGAACGGAACAGTGTAATAAGCGGAAACAAAAATTGCTACAATAAATAAGTTTTTTTGTCAGCAAATTGCAAGAAATATAAGAATTTATATGAATTTCTACGCTCCGTGGTGCCATATGTTATATGTTATAAGTTATAACTGCCTCGTTAGCCTTGTGGTTTTAAATGCGGCTACTCATCATGTGGTCTTGAGTTCGAATTCCGAACGGGCCAAAATCAGTTATTGGGTTTTTATGTCAATTACTTCTCGGTAGTAGTCCGGAGTCAGTAGCTTGGCTTTGTTTCACATCCTTTTTGAAGCCGTTGATCCTGCGCCTGATCTCTCTCCGGTTGGATCGGATTTTCGTTCTATCAGCCTATGAGAATCATGGAATAGAGAGTTGCACGAGGTTAGTCTCCGTTGGGACTGGCCGTCGTGACCGACATTCACTATTATTATTATTACCATCATCATCAAATTATACTTTTGGGGATGTCGACAATAGGTTAAATGTTATGGTATATGTCTCATTAATAAAAAATAAATAGAACAGCTGTGCTGCACCTTAAGTTGGGCCTTCAGTCAAGGGTCTTAACTAAGTTCGCTGCAATAGTGTCGTTCGATACACATCATATTCACAAAGTATAATTATAGGAGGTTTCCTCACAACGTCTTTCTTTACCTGTTCAATGACACTGGAAGTAATCAAACTCGGTTTGTACTTCGATATTTAAATTTAGCGCCATGAAACAAAACTAAACTACCACAGCAGTATATATTAAGGACAAAAAGAAATAATTATTTAGCTAATTCTATAACCGTTAATTTAGGTAAATAAAATATTGAATGGTTTAATAATTATGAATTTATTTTACAAATTTTCAGTTGCGATGTCCGGAAGCCATTTGACTTAATTTTTTATACTTATTCTGCACTCATTCAAATGTGTAATATATGACCGTCGAGACAAGTTCACACAAAAACAAGAAAATAATGAATTCGCATCTTGATTCTGGACGTAACGTACCTATATAAAGACATCGAATCGCCGTTTCAAATCAGACTGTCACTAAATCAGACTCAGACCACATTCAAAATGGTAAGCCTCTTCGTATTTTAGTAAAATGTTTTAAATATTTGATATTAAATTTGATATAAATTTGAACATCTATATTATGCAAGTGGAAATGATATTAAGTTTTTAATTCTAGCTTTGTACCTGATTTAACTGTTTTATAATTTCAGAAATTCCTAGTCGTCATTGCCGCGGCCTTCGCCCTGGTCAGCGCTGATGTTTCCCACATCGTAAGAAATGATGAATCTCAAGCCCCCATTATCAGGTTCGAATCCGATAGCAGCCCTGAAGGATCTTTCCAATACTCCTACGAAACCGGCAATGGCATCTCCGCCCAGGCTCAGGGTACCGTGTTTAACCCCAACACTGTAAGTATTTTCAAATTATATTATAATTGGATTTTATTTTGTAACCGTTTTATTTTATATATAAAATATAATTAATTATTACACAATAAATTATATCGTATAAATATATTAAATATTTTCACTAACAATAGAACAATATATATTAATTAAATAATAATTAATATATATTATGTATATTTTAATTGTTTTGTTAACAGGACGCTGCTTCTCTTGAGATTAAGGGTGCCGCCCGTTACACCTCGCCTGAAGGAGAACCTGTTGAACTGACCTACGTTGCCAACGAGAAAGGTTTCCAACCCTCGGTAATATTTTTTTTTAATTTAGTTTACTTTTTATGATTCTGATATTATTTAATAACTCTAAATAAGTCGTTATATAATAATAATTTTCTAACAAACTACAAAACAAATCAAGTTCTGTTGCAAACAAATTATTACAAAATTTGTTTACAAAGTGACAAAATACCCAATTACCATATTATTAACATTCATAACGTCTTAAAAATGTAACCGGTTAGGCCTTGATCTTTAAAATCTAGACTGAAATCATTAATTAATTATAACATACTTAAATATGTTATTACGATATCATTCCAAGTCGCTAAATTCATCGGATTTATATTTGAATATTAATTTATAATTCAAGGATAAACACTATATTTTTATTCCAGTCGACTTTGCATTATACAATTGTTATATTAATATTTTTTGCATCTGATAACAGGGCAGCCACATCCCCCAGCCCCAGCCAATCCCTGAGCTCATCCTTCGCAGCTTGGAGTACATCGCAGCCCACCCCCCACCACCAGCGCCAGCAGAGTACGCCAGGAAGCCCCTCAACTAAGTTAATATTATCTGACACCGAACTAGTACAAACTTGCACTGCCTGTAGGAATATTGTTAATACCATGATTTACGTTTTTGTTTTTGCTTTTGATATTGTAAAAACGGAAGAAATTTAAAATGAAGTAAATCTTTAAAAACTACACTGTTTTTCCATTATGCCCGTTTAGGTTAATGCCAGTGATTTTTCTAGATATTAAACACTTCTTTAGTTAGTAAAGCTCTTTTTTAAATTTTAGGCTTTTAGCAATCAAAGAGTAAATGTTAAAATATTAAAAATTACTAAATTTTCATAAAGAAAAAAAATTTGCTGTATGATACAGTCAGTAAAATTTAAATTTCAATTAATTAAAGCTACTTTGGAAATATCTCATTGTGTTGCTAGTGAATAAGCTGTGAATACGAGACTTGGTCCTTCACTGCTAACCCATAAGAAAGCTCAAAGCGGGCTTTGGAGAGAGCAAAGCACTAAAGCCAGAGTTTTCCACTTAACCTAAAGCAAGCAGAAGTATAGTAGCAGCCGTAAGCAAAAGTATAATAGCAGTAGTAAAGTAATTGGTCAACTATATAGATCGAAAAACCTACAAAAGATGGAGCAGAAATAACCTCGAGTGGTGAACCTACTCCAACAAGCGCAGTGATCAATGCAGAACATGAATATGAAGAATTTGACTGCATCCTTGTAGAACTCTAAAACAAAGCGCTTCGGGAATTAATTGCTTTTGTAAGTTTTCCGTTTGCATTATGTGCATTTGTAACCTGTTTCGATCAATGTCTGTTAAATATTAAAAATGTATGCACGTTTTTGGAATGTTTTCTATGTCCACTATATTCAAATATTGTGTGACTTTATGACTAGAGGTTACTGAGCCACGGATCCTGTGTTCGAATCCCAACAGCAGTTAGGTATGATGCTATATGTGTGTATTTACTTAGGTCACTATAAAGTTCTATAACCCATCTTCAATCGTAATCGTCCTCGCAAAGAACAATTACATGATCCTCCTTTATATTGGGATGCTCATTGATCCATTTTGGTCTACTTTGTAAATGTGTCAAATGGGCATTGCAATGAGCTTTCCAGAAGGCCTGTTCCAATTTGGACAGAGTATTTCAAAAGTTTAAATGGTTAATATTTTCACCACAGATATTTATTTCTGAATAACTTGACATTGCTGTACCAATAATAAAGTCACTAGGCGTCAAATAATTTGTATCAGATACATAAAAAAACATAGGAAGCAAAGGTCTGGATCTAAGAATGGCTTCAATTTCTGTAATGACTGTGTCCTTCTGTAAAGTCCTTCAAAGGTAAGACTGATATTTCCTACTATTCTCTTCAAATGGAACTGGCAGATAAGTTCCTTAAGGTAATGTCTTCTCAGGCTTTTTCAGTCGATGAGCATATGTCTTCTGAGAGAAAGAGGCAGCAACAGGAAAACCGAAAGAAACTATTCGCGGCAAACAAGGCATACCCTTAAGTGCTAAAACTGATTCGAGGTGGATCCGCGGATCCACGTCATAGCAGAGTCTGAACAACCACTCTAGAATGATGGTAATTTTCAAGCACTGCTGCGGTACGCAGCCGAATCTGGGGACAAAGAACTTTTTGAGCATCTGACCACTTCTCAGAAGAATGCCCTTTATGCCGTCATGCATAAAATGAAATATTAGATATTTGTGGTAAAATTATTCAACATAAAATAATCGTTGAAATAAGCAAGCTCAATTTTTTGCTATTCTAGCTGACTAGACGACTGACAATGCACGCATGGAGCAAGTCTTGCTGTGTTTGCGATATGTTGATCTTGCAATGTGCGAAACATGGTGCGTTAACAAGCATGAAGCCGTTATGAGATTCAATACCAATTTTCACGTGATAGAGCCATGCTGCAGCTATATTAGTAGTATAGTTGTAGCACGAATGGGTCGGCTCGACCGGGGAAGGACCACGCTCTCACAGAAAACCAGCATAAAATAGCAGCTTAACACTGTTGTGTTTCGTATGGTGAGTGTAGAGAACCGGAGACCCTTATTACTGGCAAAGAGGCAGTAAATCTTAGTCCTCACGGGTGGCAACGCATCTGCATCTTGAGTCTTTATTGATGATAGATGTAGATGTCTATGGGTCACAGTAGCCACTTACCATAAGGTGGACTGTGTGCTCATTTGTCACCTTATCCTATAAAAAAAAAGGAAATTTATTCAGCGATTGTGAATGCTCTCGAAGAACTCCAATCTAGCTACAAGAAAGAAACATCGCAACAAGCCGTTCAAATGTTAAGTACACTTCAATCTTCGAATTCCGTTATGTGCCTAGTGATTCTTCAAAAAGTAAAACAACAAACAAAAACAACTGCAAGCAATTAACACTGACCTCATAACAGCATTTAGCCACATGATGAGATGATGATACTAATGTTTTGCAACTTTTGATTAATAAAGATGACGAAGAGTACTTTTATCTCTGTGAAGAAGGATTCAACAATTGATTGAGAGGTACACAAATCACAGCAAAGTAGTATCGGCACTCTCTGGTGTGTTACGTTCAAATTTTGCGGCCAGTTCTGAAATTGAAGAGGCAATTTGTATGTACTTGGCAATGCTGCCCGAAAGAATTACATCCGTCGTCAAAGCAGAACTTATAGTGTAGTAAAGCTATGAATATCACCTCCCCCTACTCTAAAATTTGCTTTGGAATGGTTAGATAAGTACAAAACAAAAATTATATTCAAAAATGTACACATTGTTACAAATATTGGCTACCATACCTGTTTTCACTGCTACCCCAGAAAGGACTTTTTCAAGCCTAAGGAGTCTTGAAAACTACTTGTAGAACACAACGAGTGAAAACAGACCGAACAGTTTGGCTCTCATGAATATTAACTAGATATATATATATATATATATATATATATATATATATATATATATATAGAATATATTTAAAAATATATATGAATATTCAGTTATTTCATTCACTTTGAGTGGTTTAATTTTTTGACCCCCTCCCAACAAAACTTAAACCAGGCTTGTATAATAGTTGAAATACAGATCCTAAAGAAAATAAGAATATCGACGAGCTTACTTTGAATTTTTGGCCCATTCAACATAACATCTTTCAAAGAAATTTTGTTTTTTTGTAGCTCTGTTGTCTTGCTGTCTTGCTGTTATCGTTTAAGAAAGTGGGATAAAATGTATACTGTATCATCGTATATATCGTAAATACTAATATCGACTATCTTGGCATGCCCCAGAGTAATATATTCGTCAATAATTTTATATATAATTAAAATTACATTGGATCTTTTTTTTCAATTTATTCTTCAATGCAAATCTCGTTATGCTTTTGAGAAGGAATGGTAAAATTGCAATTGTTTCATGTCAGTAGCAAGAGAAATATCTACATAAAATTTATTGTCGTTGCGTATGACTGAACAAACAAAAATATCCTCTGCTTTTTGGAACTCTGTGGAAGATTTTTTTACCACTTCAGGAAGTGTTTCATTTAACCAAAACGGTTCCAACATATTTTCAAGTTTTTTCGAGTTACAAATTGCAAAATTATTAACAATATCCTTACTCTGTTTTGATAAGTTATGTACATTCTCCGCAACAACATAACCAAACAAGGCATTCTGCAAGACAGGATATTTAAGTAATTTAAGATCCCATCAGATAAAATGTTGAAATAAATATCAGCCCCCAAGACAAGCGACATTTGTGGTATATTAAAGTTATCATCAGATAGCTGAATATCTTTACGAAATTGATATTTAATCTCAATTTTTTGTTGTAAAAACGACGTAACTGAACTAACAACTTTACATTTAACTAACAATTTTACATTTTACACTGGAGAGTAAATGTCAATACAAACACATTTATTTATTTTATTGATTATGTTATCAATAACAATGTCACTGGTTTCTTGAATCATAGAATCCAATGACATTTTATCATTAAGGAGCTATCAAGCAATAACCTCACAAATAATGTTTATCACTTAATATCAAGCACTTTTATTTTAACTGTTGGCAAAAGTAACTGTGTGGAGGACGAGATAATTGTGTGAAGAGTTATAGCTTGCTCTTGATTTGTATTTATATAACTATGCAGCAGTGTGTTGAGGCCTTTCTTACAGACCTTACATTTAAAATGAAATCTATAGCATCCCTTGTGACTATTGAGGCAAGTTGTACATAGCTTAAGATTATCTACTAATTTAATTCGTTCAGCCTCAGTAGCCATCTTAAATCTTGAACATTCAAACAATAAATGGCTAACAGTGTCACATATTTGCGATACCTTTCATGAGTACCTTTTGTAGCAATATTGGCTACTTTAAATATTTTTTTTGAATAATTATTATAGGCACTCTTGTAGCCATTTTTCTCAAGCGCCATTGCACGCTTTTCTAAACATTTTAAGAACTTATCCATACTTTGTAAAGTTTCAGGATTCTTATCAAGCTGGAATGTCCTATTGATCTAATTTCATTTACTGTAATACAGGTTACTGTAAATTTTTTAGAGCATAAATCTGTTGCGGCACTTCTGAAATAAAAAAAACATAGAAGCCGCAATACAACGCTGCATTGACGGCAATTTCAAAATTTTGATAATGTGATTACTTATCAAACGAGAGCGCGACTTATTATCAAATCTTTTTATAAGTAAATCTAAGGCTTCCTTATATGACTCTCTAACTGTACCCCGCGACTTCGCTCGCGTGTAATTTATTACGATTGCATTTCATTGATTATATTTTTTTTTGCACGGAACCCTTATTCTTTTTCTAAAATAAATAACCTAAGTTATTCCCTACAACATCAGCTATCCGCCAGTAAAAGTCCCGTTAAAATCGGCCCAGCCATTCTGTAGATTAGCTAGAACAAACAGACAGACAGACAGACAGACAGGCAGACCGACAAATTTTAAAAAAATTGTGTTTATGTTATAAGTGCCGTATATAAATTCATATTCATTTAGTAAAAAAAGGTCAGGGGGTTTTCATCCTGGTCTACCTTTCCGGTGATCCTGTTATGGAATACGGGTACGCGACCCCGGCTCCCCGAGCTACTGTTATTCTCATACCTTTCCTGCCGAGATAACAGTATCCTTACACCTATGCTCCTACCCCCAAACTTCTTTTTCCTTTTCCCAAAATGGTAGCTTCCTCTACCAACAATAGCATACCCAAAGAGGGTTGGTGTCAGGCAGGCGGCCGACTGTAAAACTTTTGCCAAATCCCATGCAGTAAATGAATAGTACGAGTTGTGGGACATATGACAGGGATAGGGCGTACCCCGCAGGCGACGCGCAGGGGCAGCACCCGGCTCCTGTGGGAAGTGGGCAAGGGTTGTCGCACCTTACGGAGCGGGTGCGACGTAAGAGGCGAGCCCGGAGAGAGAAGAATGTCAGAGTGAGGTTTGCAAGCTGGAATATAGGTACGATGACTGGAAGAGGAAGAGAGTTAGCAGATGTTTTGAAACGACGAAGAGTGAATGTTGCCTGTTTGCAGGAAACAAAATGGAAGGGCAATAAAGCAAGAGAGATTGGGGAGGGATACAAGTTTTATTATTGTGGAAGTGATGGGAAGCGAAATGGAGTAGGAGTTGTGTTAGATAGTGGAATGAAAGAACGAGTGACAGATGTGAAAAGAGTAAATGACAGTATGATAGTTGTTAAATTAATGATTGAAAACAAAGTAGTGAATGTTGTAAGTGTGTATGCTCCGCAAACAGGCTGTGAAGAGAGTGTGAAAGAGAAGTTTTGGGAGGAATTTGATTGTATGATGATGGGAATACCTGAGCGTGAGGATGTTTATATGGGAGGGGATTTTAATGGACATGTAGGGAGAGTGAATGACGGGTATGAAAGAGTACACGGTGGATGGGGGTACGGAGTGCGGAACCGTGAGGGGGAAGTTCTTCTGCAAGCAGCATGTGCTTTCGACCTGGCTGTAGTAAACACGTGGTTCCAAAAACGAGATCAGCATCTTGTCACTTATAAAAGTGGCCACCACGCGACACAGATCGACTATCTTCTGATAAGACGGAACCAAATCAAGAGTGTAAAAAACTGCAAAGTGCTTCCAGGGGAAGACTTAGTATCCCAGCACCGAATTCTGCTGGCTGACATCTGCTTAACTGTTCGCCTCAACAAACATAAGGATCGTCCCCCACCCAAAATAAAGTGGCATTTGTTGCATAAGGAGGGGTATGCAAGTGAATTTAGAGAGCTAGTTGTAAACAAGATGATAGAGATGGGTGATATGGAAGGAATGAGTGTGAATGAGTGCTGGAAGGAAATGGCTGATTGTATCCGAAGTGTGGCAAGGAAGGTGTTAGGAGAAACAAAAGGGAAGCGTATGATAGATAAGGATGGGTGGTGGTGGAGTGAAAGTATTAGAGAAGTTTTGAGAGAAAAGAAAAATGCCTTTAAAGAATGGCAGAGCGTAGAAGACCAGAATGAATCCATAAAAGAAAGTAAGAGAGGGGCGTATAAAGAATGTAAGAAGAGAGCGAAGAAGGAAGTTGCTATTTGTAGGACAGAGGCGCACGATAAATTATATCGGTCCCTTGAAAGCCCCGAAGGTCAAAAAAGACTTTTTCAAATTGCAAGAGCGAGATAAAGGAATGGAAGAGATGTTTCACATGTAAAATGCATAAAAGATGATTCTGGAAGGATTTTGACTGACGATGAAAGTATAAAGAAGCGATGGAAGGAGTATTTTGAGAAATTGATGAATGAGGAGAATGAATGGAATGGTATGCTTGAAAACCCACCAGTGAATATGGGCTTAGTGAGAGAAATTAGTGTGGAAGAAGTAAAAATGGCTGTTAGGAATATGAAGAATGGGAAGGCGGTCGGCCCAGATGGAATACCAGTAGAAGTGTGGAAGTTGCTGAGGGCGGATGGATGGAAGTGGTTGAGTTTATTTTTCGGTAAATTGTTGCAGGAAGAACAAATACCTGAGGAATGGTGCAGTAGTATACTGGTTCCCATTTTTAAAAACAAAGGAGACGTTCAAAACTGCAGCAGTTACCGAGGAATAAAGCTCATGTCACATACGATGAAAGTCTGGGAAAGAATAATAGAGAGAAGAATGAGAGAAGAGTGTGAGATAACACAAAACCAGTTCGGATTCATGCCCGGTCGAGGTACGACAGATGCCATTTTCGCATTACGCCAATTGTGCGAAAAGTACAAGCGCGTGCATAAAGATCTGCACATGGTTTTTGTCGACCTCGAAAAGGCGTACGATAGGGTTCCCCGTGAGGTCTTGTGGTGGGCGTTAAAGATGAAAGGTATGCCTGGGAAGTATGTGAGGTTGGTCCGTGCTATGTACAGAACATCCCGTACATGTGTGCGATCTGCCGCGGGAACTACGGGCAGTATCGATGTGGCGGTAGGGCTGCACCAAGGGTCGGCACTGAGCCCTTACCTCTTCCTACTGATTATGGACGCTTTGACGTCGGACCTGCAGGATGAGGCACCCTGGTGCATGCTCTTTGCCGATGACATCGTGCTTGTCGGGGAAGAAGGCATCGAGGTACAGAGCAGACTGACGGGGTGGCAACGGAGGCTGGAAAGTGTTGGCTTGAAGATCAGCAGATCCAAAACCGAATATCTGTGCTGTGATTTCGGCGGTCTTTCCAGTCCTGTACCCATGTCGTTGGATGGCGCTATACTGCCTATCTGCTCAGATGTCAAGTACCTCGGTTCCCTCATTCAAGGCGACGGCGGAATAGATAGAGCTGTGCAGCATAGGATTAACGCAGGGTGGATGAAATGGCGACAGGTCACAGCCACAACGTGCGATCCCCGAATGCCAATAAGGCTGAAGGGGAAAATTTACAAATCGATCATCCGACCTGTCGTCATGTAAGGAAGTGAATGCTGGGCCGTCAAGAAGAAGGATGAAAATAGACTGCATGCGAATGAAATGAGAATGTTACGATGGATGTGTGGTGTGACAAGGATGGATAAGATAAGGAATGAGTATATAAGAGGAAGCTTGAAAGTAGCGCCAGTGGTAGAAAAGGTGAGAGGAAGCAGATTGGCATGGTTTGGGCATGTGATGCGGAGGAATGAAAGTCATGTCACAAAACGAGTGTTGAATATGAATGTGGAGGGACACACGGGCAGAGGAAGGCCGAATAAAAGATGGATCGATTGTGTGAAGAGTGATATGAGAATGAAAGAAGTAAGTATGGAAATGACGGCTGATAGAGAGGAATGGAACAAAAAGATTTACTGCGCCGACCACAGATAATGGGAAATGGTTTAGAGAATGATGATGATTCATCTAAATGAAAAACTGTTATTTTGACATTACCAACAGATACTTTAGTTTTATTTATTAAAATGTTATTTATAAGGACAACTTAAATTCTTAAAATTTTGTTAGAATTAGTCTCATTACGAAATTACGCTTCTAAAAATTAAGAGACAAACTTCTGTCATTACGCGTCGCGTTTACTTCAGTTTATTTCCTTCGCCGCGCGGATGCAACAGGCCACTGCAGTTATTAAAAAAATTAAGGGTACCCTTTTAAAAGAAAGTTAGTTGCTGGTTTTTTTTTTTTATATAAAAGGTAATTGCACTGTTTTTAAAAGTTATTTGCTTATATTTCGTCTCGCAAGAATTTTTATAAAATTTATAAAATACAGTTTCATGTTTTACTAAGCCCAATGGACGAAAATTACGTTTTATGCTATAAAGAGCAATGGCAGACTTTCATACATAAAATTAGTTGAGAAGAAATGGTAGCGTCTATATATCAAAAATATCTTAAAATGATAAGCATCAGTCCCTTAATAACTCTGTCAAAGAATTTAGTCCTGAGAAGGCGTCAAAAAAAAGATATTTACATTTGAACCTTTTTAGGTTATGTCCTGTCACTTGGAAAAAGTAAATGCTTCCTGTGATTGTTTGATGTTAGCTTAATACATAATACATAATTGAGAGTTTTTAGATTATTGTATCTCTATTATATATTTGCATACTATAAATGTATGTTTCTGGCATGGCTCCAGGGCCTTTGTATCATAGTGACATTCTCAGAAGGACTAGAACCCAGAGCCGTAAAGCCAGTAAAAAAAACAGTGACATTTTGTTTTAGCTAGTGTTGGCATAATATTAAATGGAATTGTTACATATCACTATGGTTGAGATAATGTATTATTGTAGGATATTCTTTGTAAGAGACTTATTCTCAGCCATATCTCTTTTATTTTTATTATTACTGATAGTACAGTTATTACCAATAATAACTTAATATAAAAATATTTTGTGTGTTGTGTTGGTAGTCTTACAAAGTATATACGAAAATAGTATGAATATACTAAATGGCAACACTTGAACAGAGTAAAATAATTTAAGTGAGGAGTTTTGGCGGGAAATTGACCGGTGGCGGTTTGCTGCTCCTGTATTATTGTTTAAATAATGGTTTGAAGTGGACTTTGATATGTAAAAGTGTTGCGATTTTGTGTATTAAGTGTCTACGCATGTGAACTATTAGTGGAAACAGTGAAACAAGTGCTCTGATGGTGATGGATTCTCAAGATAAGCTGTGTGTTTGCATAGGCACCTTTAGATACCATCGCCAACTATCAGCTGTCTGCTGGATCAAGTTGCCGCCAAAATCTCCCAAGAACTGCACAATGTGACGCATCAACATATTGTGAAGCAGTATACTATGAAGGAGTGGGGAAATTACAATAAACCGAATAAAAATACTTAAGACTTGGCCTAAAGGTCTAGATACCAGGCCATAAACTCCAAAAAAAAAATAATTTAAGTGATTTGATATTCCCAAAAATGTTTGTTTTTCTGTGGATTTAATTAAAATACATTTTTATTTGAAAAATCATAGAAAAATAATTAAACTCATTTTATATATAACTTATTTCTAAACGCGATAAATTTGTCAACTATTTTTCTGCCATTGCTCTTTCGATACATCGTGAATGTTATGCAGAAGTTGTTTTTAACAAAATGTCGTCGGTCAAAGATATACCCATGATTTAATTATTTTTTATTTATTACAGGCACCTATTAAAATTCGAGTGTTTCTATGTTTTTGCTTCTCTACATAATAGTTAATTGAGTGTAAGTAAACTTATTGGTTTTGTTATTTATTACTGTTTTAACCATTGGGCTTGTTTATGCAACTTTTGATTAATAAATTCTTTTATGTTTTGATTAGACTTTTTTATACACAAAAATATTTTTTTATTTAATAAAATTACCCCCTCTCTATCTTTACATTTCTTCTTTTATTATCAGGTCGTAACAATCCACTGCTTGCCGTGGTAGATCGAAATAAGGGGAGCTCAAAATTTTACTCCCGCAAATATCACCCACCTCTGCATCGCTGACCTAAACATCGCACGGAACACCCGGGTCCACAAGGATTAAGAAAAAAAATGTTCCTCTTTTTTCCCTGCCACATTTTTTTTCTTTTTACTTACTGTAAACAGTTTATAATTGATAATTTCTAAATTTTTTATAATTTTTAATTTTTGTTTAAGAACAGTAAAATTAATTAGCAAAAGGAAACAACGTTATTATTACCTTAATTATTAATTACAACAATAATGAAATAATATATAAGATAGGAGAAATGTAGTTTTAAGAAATAAATAGTTAAATCTTCATGTGTAAATAATTAGAAGCAGTTATAATAATTGCACATTATTTACAATTTTATCATTTAATTTTGTTCTTACTGATTCTTTTAGTTTTATAAAATCATAACCATAGAATTATTACGTAATGACTGGGTAATAACTGGTTAATAATTCTATGCTCATGACATTTAAAATAAAATGATTGACGTCGAAGTTACAAAATATTTCGTATGTGGGTACCCCCGAGCGGCTCCTGTTTTTCTCTTTTTGTTTACCGTCAAACAAGAAAGTTTGATAAAATAACAAATTTACTTCATTACGCATTATCAATTAGGGTATATTTGGTTAAAAAATCTTTTTTAAGCAAACGATCTAAATCTTTCTAATTTTTTCTACGAATTAGCTAGTACGCTAAGCTTGACGAATTTTTTCTATTTGTGTAATTTTTTTTCTTTTTGGCTTACATTTGGCAGCCGAATGTTTTGAAAACCAAAAAAATATTATTGACCATGGCCTGACCACAGGTTTGACGGAGTTGGCCCGATACAATGTCGGGATCTGAGAGGTTAACATATTTTTGTCTAATTTTGAAACAATTGAAAAATATTTTTTCCCTAATATCTCAATATTTTCTTCGTCCTTCATGTTGTTCAATAGTCAAAATATGCAACTTAATTCTCTCATAACCTCACATCGCATTGATTAATCTATTTTACGCGTTTTTAACACCTCAATGCTATATCTAGTCAGATTATTATTATCATTTACAACATTTTTAATTCTTTTGACAATACCTTTAATAAGTCCTCGTTGAATCTTTAACGTTTTTATTCTTTCTGCATTGTTTATATATGTTATCTTAATCTTTTAATCACAACACTAAGCTGCACCAAAATCTTTTCACTTTAATATTTTTACGCGCACAATGCAGGTTATGTTTTGTTTTGATAGCATTGACAACTATGACACTTATCTTGACAGTTGTCTTTAATAGCTGCCAACTTAATGTTGTTAAACTCGTAGAGGGTAGCACTTAGGGGCAGCACGAACTTAATGCTACTAACTTTTCCTCAATTAATATTGAGCAGACTTGACCGTTGAGCGGGACAAATTGTAAAAATGGAGAAACAATTTATATCTGCCTCACACTTCAAAATGTTAATCGCAGTGGATGAATTTAATAATAACAACGTGATTTGTTCGATAGCTTTATCTTCTTAATGATTTTTAGTCTTCTTGAGGGTCTGCATTCAAAAAAATATAGATATCCCGATAATTGGCGGGCTTCATACATTTCAAAGAATTACGTCCGGTGTATCTATATCTGTAACATTCAACAAAAAAAAAATTCACAACAATTAATCTTAGGACCACTTAAATTGCATGTATAAATAAAATGCTAGTTTAAATTTCATTTTGGAATTTTATTTAACAATTGTTTGCTGGAGAGCCGCATACATACTTTGAATACGGAAGTCAGAAGGGAAGTTGCCTATAAAAAAAATAATACACTCACATTAAAATGTTGCAATTTAAATATACAGCTAATAATTAATACACACCCATCAATACAGATAAATATTAATGTGTGACAATTTATTAAACACGTTCCGTAAATTTATTTATTAGGTATTATTCGTAACCTACCTATATAAAGACATCGAATCGCCGTTTCAAATCAGACTGTCACTAAATCAGACTCAGTAAGCCCACATTCAAAATGGTAAGCCTCTCCGTGTTTTAATAAAATGTTTTATATATTTCATATAAAATTTTATATAAATTAAATTTATTTCTTTAAAAAAAGTTACCTCCACACTAGGGGTTTCTCTTGTATCGCAGGGGCAGTTTGCATACATAGATTTCATAAGGACAAACATCCAGGCAAAGAACAATTATTTGTAAGAAATACATAATTATACTTGTTCCGTGTGGGATTCGAACCCGCGGCCCTTAACGCTACAACTGACTGTTAAGCCACTGTGCCACGGAGCCGTTAATTTAAAACATCAGTATATATTATGCAAATGGAAATTATAATAAGTTTTTAATTTTAGATTTGTACTTCAATTAACTATTTTGTAATTTCAGAAATTCCTAGTTGTCATTTCCGCGGCCTTCGCCCTGGTCAGCGCTGATGTTTCCCAGATCGTTAGAAACGATGAATCTCAAGCCCCAATTCTCAAATCTGACTACGAAATCAACCCTGAAGGATCTTTCCAATACGCCTACGAAACCGGCAATGGCATCTCCGCCCAGGCTCAGGGTACCGTGTTGAACCCCAACACTGTAAGTATTTTCAAATTATATTATAATTGGATTTTATTTTGTAACCGTTTTATTTTATATATAAAATATAATAAATTATTACACAATAAATTATATCGTATAAAAATATATAATATATGAAATATTTTCACTAACAATAGATTTTTAAGATAAAAGATTTTTTGTGCTTTACACAAAATATTCAAAGTAACAACTTTAAATAATAATTAATATATATTATGTTTTTTTAATTGTTTTGTTAACAGGACGCTGCTTCTCTTGAGATACAGGGTGCCGCCCGTTACACCTCGCCTGAAGGAGAACCTGTTGAACTGACTTACGTTGCCAACGAGAAAGGTTACCAACCCTCGGTAATATTTTTTTTAAATTTAGTTTACTTTTTATGATTCTGATATTATTTAATAACTCTAAATAAGTCGTTATAAAAAATACTTTTCTAACAAACTACAAAATAAATCAAGTTCTGATGCGAACAAATTATTACAAAATTTGTTTAAAAAATGACAAAATACCCAATCACCATATTACTAACATTCAATAACGTCTTAAAAATGTAACCGGTTAGGCCTTGATCTTAAAAATCTAGACAAGAATCATCCATTTATTATTACGATATCATTCTCAGTAGCTAAATCCATCAGTTTTATATTTGAATATTAATTTATAACTCAACGATTCACAATATACTTTTATTCCAGTCGTTTTTATGTATAATATAATTGTTATATTAATATTTTTTGCATGTGATTACAGGGCAGCCACATCCCCCAGCCCCAGCCAATCCCTGAGCTCATCCTCCGCAGCTTGGAGTACATCGCAGCCCACCCCCCACCACCAGCACCAGCAGAATACGTCAGGAAGCCCCTCAACTAAGTTAATACTATCTGACACCGAACTAGTACAAACTTGCACTGCCTGTAGGAATATTGTTAATATCATGATTTACGTTTTTGTTTTTGTTTTTGCTTTTGATATTGTAAAAATGGAAGAAATTTAAAATGAAGTAAATCTTTAAAAACTACATTGTTTTTCCATTATGCCCTTTCATAACTATTTTTCAAACCAAAAAATAGACCAATGTTAGACCAAGATGCCACCTGAAGTTTAATGGTGCTGATTTTTCTAGATATTAAATACTTCTATAGTTAGTATAGCTTTTTTTTACATTTTAAGCTTTTAGCCGTTTAAGAAAAAATACTATACTATTTTCATTTATAAAAATAATTTGCTGCATGAAACAGACAGTAAAATCTAAATTTAAAATTAATTAAAGCTACTTTGGAAATAACTCATAGTGTTGCTGGTGAATAACCTGTGGAAGCGAGACTTGGTCCTTTTCTGATAACCCATAATAAAGCTCAAATATTCCTAATATTGTTAATATCATGATTGACGTTTATGTTTTTGTTTTTGCATATGATATTGTGAAAACGGTAAAAAATTGAAATGAATATATCGTTAAAAACTTCATTATTTTCGATCATGCCCTTTCATAACTATTTTTTAAACCAAAAATAGACCAACTTTATGATTTTTTTTATAGGAGAGGGGGCAAACGAGCGTGCGACTCACCTGATGGTGACTACCGCCGCCCATGAACAACCGCAACACCAGGGGAACCAGGGGAATTGCAGATGCGTTGCCGGCCTTTTAAAAAGGAGTAGGCTCTTTTCTTGAAGGTCCCTAAGTCGTATCGGTCCGGAAAAATGTTGTCAGCAAGATGCCACCTGAAGTTTAATGGTGGTGATTTTTTAAATGTTAAACACTTGCATAGATGGTAAACAGTTCTGTATATATGTTTGAATTGAAAGTGATTTCAAAGTAAATTAATAATTAATTCTTCTTTTATTCGATTTGTTTTAACTTTAAATAAAATTACTAGCAATGATAATAATATTGCGTTAACCAATCATGAGTAAGTTTAAAATGCTTTTGTAGGGAGTGGTAGGTTAACCACATTATTGGAATGGCGGATTTGAACTCCCGAATTTTAATTGGGCTGCCTAACGATTTCTTCATTTCTTTTAGCGATTTAAGAATAAGATATGAAACTTAAAAATTGCAAAATTTTTATTAAGAAAAAAATCGTCCGTAAAATCTTAATCTAAAGTTAATTAAATCCAATTTGGAAATAACTCATTGTATTGCTGGTGAATAACCTGTGGAAACGAGACTTGGTCCTTAACTGCTAACCCATAAGAAAGCTCAAAGCGGGCTATGGAGAGAGCATATATGTAGCACTACATCCAGTGTGACCCACATAACCTAAAGTAAGCAGAAGTGTAGTAGCGGCCGTAAGCAAAAATATAATAGCAGTAGTAAAGTAATTGGTCAGCTATGTACGATATCGACAAAACTACAAAAGATGGAGCAAAAATAACCTTGAGTGGCAACCCTACTGCGCCAAGCACAGTAATCAATGCGGAATGTGAATATGACGAATTTGACCACATCCTTGTAGAAGTCGAAAAGTAAGCGTTTCGGAAATAAATTGCCTTTAATAAGTTTTCCTTTTGAATTATGTGCGGAACCTTCGGTAACATCTGTAACATACACTTAATTATAAGAATTCTTATAAAAAGAAGAGAAAAACTAGTGTTTTAGAGGGATCTTGACTGCTAGCGGATTGCTGCTTTTGTAATTAAAAGGTTTAAATAATGGTTTAACGAATCAAAATCCACTTCAAAGTGGTACGATTTTGTGTATTGAATGTCTGCACACGTAAAATATTACTGAAAACAAGTGTGATGGTAAAGTGAACTTCAAAAAAATGTCTGCTTAAGCGACTTGAGATACTATGTTCATCGACTATCTGCTAGCTCAAGCTTGTTAAGTAGTTTATTAGTTAAGTACTAGCAATTTTCAACTGACATCATAAAAAGGAGGAGGTTCTCAATTTGACTGTAATTTTTATGTGTGTTACCTCAGATTTTTTCTAGGGTTAGTTAATAAATAACAATAAAGGTTTTATTCATAAACACGGTCTTACAAATATATATATACCATGGTAGACTTCTTCTATTGACCGCATAATGCTCCCGTATCAGAAGTAAGCCCCTCTTCCATATCATACAATTTACTAAAGCAAGAACCGCTTGTACTAAATTGAAAGAAATTAAAAATAGTGTGGTGTTTGTGTGTGTAGTGAATGTGTAGTGTGTGTGTAATATGTTGTGGTGTATGTGGGTGTAATGTGTTGTGTGAAAGTTTTCATACTTTTTCCTCTGCACAGCCCTACGACATAAAAAGTCTTGGGATCAGCGTTAAGCCACTGAGCAGAGTTGGTAGTTATATATACATCTACATGGAGGTTATGTGTGTATGTATGTAATGAATGAGTGATTTACACATAAAAATCCTCATATCAAAATTCTAATTTTAACAGGTTTTCAACTTCAATAAATTCTAATGTCTTCAGCCATTCAGTGAGTTTTAGTTTACAGTTTCTATAAGTCATAGGATATATATCTAGTATTTTATTTATTTTATTATATAAATGAGACGAGATGTTTTTGTACTGATTGCGAGCAAATTTAGTCTTGGTGTAATTTAGTGTGGCGACTCTATCTTCTATTCTATTAGTTGAAATATTGGTGTCAATATTAAAGGACACGTTTTTTCAGAACTACGTGCAATATGTAAAGTTTACGAACTGTCAATAGATCTGCATATAAATACAATGAATTTGTTGAAAACTGACGTGTTATGAAATACATAATTAATTTTTAACAATCCCTTTGTGCTCGTTCTAATTGTATAAAATGAGTTTTTACAGCATCACTCCATATCGTTATACAATAAATCAAAACAGATTGTGCCAACGCAATATAGATCTGATGAAGTAACTTTTTATTTGCAATGTGTCTTAGTGTTTTACATATCCACATTAATTTACGTAATCTGCCAGAAACTAATTCGTCATGAGACATACATGAAAGTCTCTGGTCCACTAAGACACCAAGGTACTTCGTAGATGTTAGTCTAGTTATAGTGGGACAGTTGCGATTCGTGCTAACTAGCGGCTGACAGCAATGAATCTTAATATCACTGGGAAAGGTAGGCAGACTGTTGTTTATGGAAAACAAAATATAGTTTGTTTTGCTGGTTAGTAGTGGTTAGTAGTTAAAGTTAGTAAGTCTTACTTAGCCATTGCGAAATGACAGCCAAACCGTACTCTGTATTAATTTTTTGAATTGTTCAAGGAGTCGCCTGTAAACACAATGGCAGTGTCGTCAGCATATGAGAATATGCTAGCATGTAGGATCTTCATATTGCAGAGTTCCTTTATGTATATTAGAAACAGGGTGGGCCCTAAGACGCTTCCTTGCGGCACGCCATAAGTGACACTAATTTTTTGACTTATATGTGAACCTATTTTTACCCTCTGAGTCCTATCAGTCATGTAACTTTTAAGCAAGTCAAGGGGCACACCTCTGATCCCACAGTTTTCTAACTTCTGCAATATAATGGGGGTAGACACGGTGTCAAATGCCTTTTTAAGATTACTAAAATCTTTTTATCAAGATTATCAACAACTACACTAGTAAGGGCTTCTACAGCGTTTTCAGTCGATTTCCCTGCTTGAAAGCCAAATTGTGAACTGGATAAGATATGGAACTTATTGAGGAAACTTATGAGCCTCTTGTTGATAAGTTTTTCTATAACTTTTGATACTGTCGGCAATACCGAAATTGGTCTGTAGTTGTTGATATCCTTCTCATCTCCTCTCACACTAATTTTGATGATTCTTTTTTTATTTGAAAGCTTGTGTTTTTCATGTGGTCCCATGTAAATTTGATTAAGATCTGACCAGTATTTTTTGAGTTATCCTTTATAATGCGTATTTAAGTTATTTCGACTACATTGATGATGTTCTCATTTTATTTATATTGAAATCGGTTCCACAAAAAGTTTAATTTTACCACTTGTGTAAAGTCGTTGTTAAACAAATTATTCTAAAGGATAATTTCTTATTGCTTGACACTGCCTGTTATATACTATTGCCATCTTGTTTGTATTAATAACATAATGTGTTCACGCCAATGCGTTTCCCACTAATTTAGGTAATCAACTATTACGATTTCCAGGGTGTCGATAGAAGCAGTTGATTTAGGGCCGCGCTTTTTGTTGGAGGCCTTTCAGTCGACTAACAAGGCTCTTTCTACAGTCATGACTATTTAAAAAATGAAAGAAGAAATACGGAAATATTTCTTATTATTTTTCGTAAAAAGTATAGAATAATTATTCATAAAAAACTTCTCAGTTCAAAGGTTACTATGTTTCTGAATTACATTTTAACAGAAATAGACACAATAGTAAAACAATCGAAATTTTCATATATGATTAATGGGAAAGGGAAAGGTTAATGTTAACTATAGATGCAGAGACCTATCTATTTCTGTCAATATCTGTATGCATGCACATTTCAGGAATGTTTTCTATCTCCACTCCATACAAATATTGTGTGAGTTTATGACTTGAGGTTACTGAGTCATGAATTCTGTGTTCGAACCCAACAGGAGTTTAGATAAGAGCCTTTACCTGTGTATTTTACTTGGGTTACTATACAGTTTTATAACTCTCATTTTAATTATAATAGTCCTCACAGATTCACTTTAATATTTTAATAATTATCACTTTAATTATAACTGTCCTCACACTTTCAATTTTTTGAAACCATTTATTGAAAAATATTTTCAATAAATGATTTTATCATATACATGTTTGTGTATCACAAAATGCATTATTTTAATGTAAAATCAGAGCCGTAATGGTTTATTTCTTTTTTATATTTAATCTTCATTTCATCTTTACTTGAATGGTTTGAAATTAATTCACCTCTTTTTAAATACTTACCCGATAAAATAGTTGAT